GAAGTAATATCCGGTATTTGTCATACCGGGACACTTAGCCGTCTTAATTCGTTAATCCGCGCGGCCATTGTTTGCAACGATGCAAATTTACGCGGCTGCAAATGAGTCTCGATTCATCAACACGATTTCGTCGCCATTACGTTTAATGCACTACAGATTAGTACACTGGAAAGAAATGTGTGTGTATGAAATTTTATCAAATAAATATTTGCTCAATGAAAGAATAATACTCAAGTCCCACAAATTAATGGTTCTTGTAAAACTAAAATATGTGTCTACCATTTAGTAAGTGTCTAGTTTTATATATATATACATATATACTATATATTCAAACGAATATTTATTAAAATTTGTCAATATACAGATTCACGACTATCCTAAAATCGTTTACGTATAATACTAACGTATCTGCGAAATCCAAAAACCGACTGTTCGATCGCGGCTCAAGTTTGCTACCTCCGAGTCAATGCGGCCACCTCCGTTACGTTTATAATGCAAATATGAATCTATTATCTCGGTGATCTCTCTCTTAGTATTCGCTATAGATCGCAAAAACAATGGTGATGGCACTTAAAACGGGACCTCGGCGTTTTTTTCGCACATAATGGATTCGAAAGAATCGTTTAATTAAATAATACAGATTAGAGCCAGACAATTGTAAGTGCAACGGCGTAAGCGCGCGCGCGCTCGTCTTCCTGCGTGTCGTGTTGTGCCGTGCATTTCGTACACGCTTCAAATAATTATAACTTATATTAATCCGTAATTAACTGCCAGTCACTGCTCAATTGTCAAGTCACCGATCTGAGTCATCGCAATCGCGGGGATTACAAGGTTCTCGGTGCGACATACGCATTTACACGGCCAGGGGTCAAACGCGACGTCACCGCTCCGTAATCATTTCCACGATTTTGCGATTGAGAGACGCCGAAACAAAAAGCTGGGAATAACAAATAACTTCGTAACGGAAAACTCGGGTGGAAAATCCAAAACGCCGCGCCGGCGCGAGTCGAGTAAAAAAAGAAAATAGCGATGACTCCTTTCGAAGAGAGTCCGCGACACTTAGGTATTTCCAGTCCACAAGTACTAAGAAAAACCGAGGCGCGTGTACAGTTACCGTGGTGGTGTAGCATATCGTTCGCGGAATTATTGATGTTTCGTTGATATAATCGATGTTTGCAAATTGAGCTTGCCCCGGCTCGATCGACCCGCAATGCCGCATCGTCGTATTAATTCTTATCATGCGAGAATCATTCGCGAGTCGCGAAGCGATTTACGCGGAGATATCTGCGACAGTTGGCAGTTGAAAAATACGTAGAGACATATCTATTTCCGGTTTCTTTTTGATTTTCTAGTTAATTCGCGGTTACGCTCTAAATTTTCTGCAGTGAAAAATCTCACTCGAAAAAAAGCGAGAATACAACCACCCTTGGGAAAAAAGTGGAAATATGACAATGTTCATTCTTTTTAGAATGGATTTTCACTTCGGAAGAGTAATGTCTCACTCTGAAAAAAAGCGACTCTAAAAGGAGTGAAAATTGTCACTCTTTTTCGAGAAGTGAAATATTTTCACTTTTTTTTTCAAAGGTGATTGTATTTTCATTCTCTTGAAGTGAGATTTCACTGCAAAGAAATTTCGAGTGTAGATTTAATCCAGTCGCAGTTAACCAAAAATTTTAATCTTTTAAATTAAGGAATAATATCGTTACTTAATTTAGGTAACGAAAGGATTTTGAAAGGAAGGTGATCGAGAAAGTGGTCAAAAGAGTTGTAACTCTCGATTGGAAGCTTTCTCGTAAATATACGAGAATCAATCAATGAGTGACCAATTATAGTTATTATAGTGTGCTCCCTAAATTTTTGGGAGTAAATTTTACTCCGAGAAAAGTGATGGTTGCGCCAGTCCGGCGAGGAGTAAATTCATTTCTTCAGGAGTGAAATTTCATTTCTTAATCTAACCTAAAAAGTCAACTTTAATAATGATATCTCGCTTCGCGAGACAGAGCGACGCTTTTTTCTACCATATTCGTTCGTCTTGTGCAAAAACACGTCGAATAAGCCTAATAATTTTTTAAATTACACATTGTAGGGAGGCTAAACTTAACATTTATCAGAGTGAAATTTCAGTTTCTCCTTTCCAAGATTGAAATTATTCACTCTTTACATAGATTGAAAATTGACTCCCTGATTTGAAGTGATCCTTCATTCTCTAAGAGAGTGAAAATTTCACTCCTATCGGACTGGCGCAATTATCACCCTCTTTGGGAGTGAAATTTCACTTCCAAAAATTTAGAGTGTGACTCCAAAGATATTAAAAGTAAAACACTTGAAAACTATTCCCAATTAAATCTAACCGAGAATTAAACACAAACTTTATATTCTAGAAATAAGTTTCAATTGACAAAAAAATTCACGAATAAATTATCGTAAGCATGAAGCTTTCAGACTTGCAAGACTTTCGCGTAAAGCAACTGCAGGAATATCTAATATTCGCGTGCATGCGTGCGTGCGTACGTATAAAATAACGTGACGTGGTACGCGATCCGTGCGACGGCAACGAGAGCAACGAATGGGAACCGGGCGGAACCATTTTAATAGAGCTGATTTTCGTCGTCAAAGGAAGTAGTTTAAAGATCCGCGTCGTTGCGGTACCTTCGGACGCGAAATTTTTGGCGTACGATATATGTATGTCTGACGTATCGATAAATTAAAACACTCAAGTATATTCAAGCCTATGACGGTCGAAGCTGAATCTTCCGAGTGCCCAAATAATTCACAAGTGAATCATCTATATCCTATACATGTACATGCATATATACCATATTTTTGTAGTTATTCAAAACTGCGCGCCGAAATTTGTCCGGACTTTATCAAACGCAATTAAACTACTGCGATAACATCACAAGTTAAATAGGATATTGATGATTCACTTGTGAATTATTTGGGCATTTGGGAGAGATCTAGCTTTGACCGTCGTAGGCTTGAATACACTTATACTTGAGTGTTTGATTTCATGTCCTAATAAAATCTTATTATAATAAATTTAAATCAGATATGAATTAAAATGTGTCTCTTTAATCTCCTTCGTCTGCAATCACATTTTTACTCCTTTTTTTTCCATCCAGTTCAAGCTTTCTTTAATGTTTTATATTGTTGGAAAATTCAGAGTTACTTTTGTTATCTCTATTACATTACCGAAGATTTTTTTTACTAAGATATTTCAAAAGAACTCCGCGTTCCTTTATTTAAGGAAAAACTTGAGAGTGAAAATGTCGCTTGTACTAAAAAAAAAGACCCAGATTGCAGATGCAGAGTCTTTTGCGAAAAGGATATTATTTTAAAGAAACAGCAACGAGTCTTTCCTTTTTTTTCTTCTTTTCGCATTTCCCATCCTCCGTCGTGGCGAGTTTGACTCGGTCGACTTCGCAAATGCACGGTTGAAGAGCGACGAATGTTAAACGCGAAATTCTCGCAAGTACCCCGTCGAATGTATCGTCGTAAGAGGGCACAAGCAAATAAGACTGCGGGCAAACGAGATAAGAAATAGCTGAAATTATACGATACGTTAGAAACGCATGCCGGCAGCGCGCATGCTATTTTCCCAACCTCCTCTTTAGCAGTCCCAGAGGATCGAGGAGAGAGAGAGAGAGAGAGAGAGAGAGAGAGAGAGAGAGAGAGAGAGAGAGAGAGAGAGAGTGAGATTTTTACCCTTTATCCTCTTTGCCTTCGCAGTACGACGTAATGATAGTGAAACATTGAATCTCAAGCGTAAACTGCAATTTAATAGATTTCCAACACACTAACATCCCGGAGGGACACGCGCGGGGGCGAGGAAGGAAGAAAATTTAAAAAAGGGGGGAAAAACATCGACGCGCGTCGATCTGACCGAGACGAGAGGGTTGAGAGAAGACGCACGTCCGCGTCGCCTGCGCATATATCGCCCTCCTCGTTCCGAGGTACTCGCGCGGATCGGCGATAGCGATTGGCGATTATGTTAACCAAACACGCGCGGTACACGCCCCTGCAATTTGCCTTGGGATCATCTTCCCCTAATCGCCGCGCTAATAACAGGATTACGGGGGTCCTGACCGCGCGGTACGTATACTTATCCCTAATTCGCCGTATCGTTATTAATATATACGATACAATTGAGAACGGGGCCCGGGCGCCCCTCCCCCCCTTTACCCGCGATAAGCCCCGCGATATGTGTATATGCGTGTACACACGTATGGGGAACCCCTCCCCCCCCCTCCATCTACATCTCCACACGTGGTTCCAAACCGCCGAAATGCGGGCTCGGTCTTTCGTTACACTGCGCACCGTTGGAAAATTTGTGTTAAACTTAACATATTTCTCACGTGTCCCCCAAATGGTCCGCTCAAACTTTTCTGTTAAGTTATTAACATAGATATTATGCAAAAAATTATCACAAAAAAGACGCAATTTGTAAATAAATTATTGGAGAAGCATATTTTTTTCAATATACACATCTATTCAATAACAGTTAATATTTATGATATGTATATATGTGATATGTAATAATAGTTAATATTTATGATATAAATTGTTAATATGTATTGTATTTCAATTTATTATTTAAAAAAATACATTATTTTTATGTTGTCTGTTGACTTATTCATAAATTGCGTCACTTTGAGACAACTAAAGCACACTAAAACAATATTGGATATCAATTTGACAGAAAAGATTTAAATAATACAATCGCACACACACACACACACACACACATATTATGTTAAAAATTGACACTCGAATATGTTAAAACGACAACATAAAATTGTAACACGAAGGAACACGAGTGGATCGTCTCCAACACAAAATATCTTTCACCGTGTAACGTTTCTCTCCCCATTTTCGACGATGTAGTTGATTTCGACGTGAAAAACCGCCCGAGTTTCACGACTCGAAAATTTATTACACCGCCGGTGTGCGGATATTCATGAAATAAATATGAGAGGGATAGGAAAAAGAAATGGACTTACGTGTAATGCGAATAAGACGGGCTGGCTTGATCGATGAGAGCGGCGGTTGACAGGCCTTGCGCGATGGCAGCCGAGGGATCCCTAGCTGGCGAGGAATTCTGCGTCCCCGCTGTCGCCGGTATAGCGTGATGGTAGCGTTGGCACATTTCGGCCAAGTTCCACCCATGGGCATCCATATATTAGCACTGCTTCGCTTTTCTTTGGCGTACCATCCATTTCACACGCGTTGCGATGCACACACACACTCTCTCTCTCTCTCTCTCTCTCTCTCTCCTCCTCCTCCTCCTCCTCCTCCTCCTCCTCTCCCTCTCCTGGTTCTTCCTGGTTCTTTTTTTCAGTTTTCTTCCCTCGTTTTTCTCTTCTCCTCTCTCAATAATTCACTCGCGTGATTTTTTACGTCTCTATGTGTGAGGTAAAAAACTACACTCGCGTCGACGACGACGACGATGACGACGACGACGACGATGATGATGTACCAAATCCAGTCGCGATTCTCCGATGAGGAATCCTCGCCTCCGGCAGGCACGCGCACCGCCTGTTAATCAGGAAAACAAATCCATTTACTTGGCCGTTAACGACACGCGTATACGTATTTAGAGAATGATCGAGAGACGGCCGTTTAAAAAAAAGACTCCACACGACTCGCATGCCGACGACCGTTATGAATTTAAAATGAAGTCACGCCTGTCTGTATCGCACTAGCGATATTGGCAACTCGCAACTCTCTTGATTAATCAAAAAAGAACTGCTAATCGACTCCTCTCTGATTGGGTCAAGAGACACAAATGTAAACGCAATCGCCAATTCGTCGTTAGTCACATAGCACAAAAGCTTGCGACATTTTCTATGTTAATATTGCTGGAATGTTACAATGTTGCTGGAATATTGCTGAAACGATCTGTGCTGTATCGGTAACGTGATGTGGATATTATCTTTATCGAACGGCACGGATGGAAACAAATAATTACTGTAAAAATTACGAAACGGCGAGTGAAACGGGAAGAAAACGGTGTTGCTGAAGTATTTAAATAATTAGTTAGATATAGATCTGAAAATATAACTTTGTTGGACTATTAAAATAATTATAACGTAGAACGTTATAATTCAACTGGATGTTAAAACGATAAAACTTTTTTATGACATCGCTCATCACGCTTGAGTTTCCTATCATAATTTATGACCTAACAAAATTATTTTTAGATCGGCAGATATATATTTAAATTTTTAAAAAGCTTTAACAAAGTCATCCTTTCCCAGTACGGCACTAACGTGCCGTGTAATCGCGTGACATAAAACTTCGCTTACGGAAGTGAAAAGTTGTAAAAAATATTGTAGCGAATATTTATTTGACGCGGCACGATGCAAATTATTCGGTGCAAAAAAACGTGAATGTTGATGAATTAATGAACTTGTGAAAGTAATTTCCGTTGTTGTTCATTGGATCATAATGAGATTTTAATAATTCGCGTTATTGCGGCGAATTTATAAAATGTTCTCCAGCAAACAGTTTACAACTTCAATGACTTTCAAATGCGCGTTCGAATACCTAACGGAACAACTAAATCTCGCGTTACATAACCCTTTTTTCCCCTCCTCTCTCTCTCTCTCTCCCCCCTTGATCTAAATGCAGTTTAAAGCTACGGTTAATGAAAGTGTCCGTTTAATTTCTAACTGCGAGCGGGTTAAAGAGGTTCACATAAACGGAGGGCTCGAAAAGCCGTGTTGGATAACGATCGGTATCTGGATCGGACGGATACCGATCGACTTCTATTCGTGCCTCAGCGATTGAGCGTTAATAAGCGTCGTGCAAAGGTATCTGTGTGAAATAACTATAATCACACATATACACACATAAACTCGCGCGCGAGTTACCGTCGGACGAAAACGATCGTCAAATCGCATTCTTTTCTCGCTCGTGATCGAGGAAATGAACGGCAAGAATTTTCGGGCGTGGGTCGGAAGATCGACAAAGGATACATGTCGTTCTTGAGGCCAGTGCAAGATCCTTTCATCGCAAAAAAGATGGAAAATTAAGGTACAATCAAGATACGGTTAGAAAATTCCCATACGTATGATACACCGAGAAAAAGATATTTAAAAATCTATTTGTGATATATAATATTTATTTTATCGAAGTGAATCCTTATTTAAGTACAGCAAAGTAAAATTTTATTCCTGGCAAATAAATCATCCATTTTATTCTTTTACAATAAATAAGATATATATATATATATAATTGAAATTTATATTTCTCTCGTCATCACAATTAATATTTTTTATAATCAATAAATATTGAAAATTTCGATTTTTTTTCAGACTAACAGAATAACAAGGATTAACAGATGTTCGCTTAAATAATATACTGATTTCTTATTTAAATAAAATTTTTGGTATTAAAAATTAAAATTGAAACTATAGTGTGTTATTAGTGAATTAAGCACAACACTTTCCCTCTAAAATACACACAAAAAGAAAGAAAAATATTTCCACTTTTGGCTACAATTAGAGTACTGCCCGAGTTGTACCCACTATAAGTAATTCAAAAACAAAATTCCAACACTTATCAATTTTAATAATCCAACACTTATCAATTTTAATGCAGACATCACGGCACTTGGAAAATAAGTGTCATGCTGATAATTTATCGCAATTCTAACAACATTTCTCGTTAGTTGTAACCAGAATACTACGATCCTTTTAAACAGAGTTCAAGTTACTACTTTTTCCATTTTTTAGTATAAAAAAACTCTTTTTTATTTGTATAGGAATTGTAGAATTACGAAGAGAGAGAGAGAGAGAAAGAGAGAGTGCTATTGGAACTGTCATTATTTTTTTATATGTATATATTAATAGAATATTGTGCTACTTTACATTGTGTAATTTTACGGAGCCACATAAAAATTTGGATTGTGAAATTAGCTCGCTATTTTATTAATATAGAAAAAAAGGCAGTTCCAGTAGTTTATTTTCCATAGTTCTTTATCGAAATAAAATGTCGAAATAAAAAAAAAGAGGACGACGATCGACACGCGTCGTATAACATTTTACAGAAGCGAGATCACCGGCGGTATTTCTTGGCTAATTAACTCAAACAACACAGATATAGATAAATTCTCGAGAAGTTTCACGATATAAAACTTGTAAATACCCGATAAATACTCAACGCTACCTCGATCTCCGGTGCGGAACGGCATTTTCTAATTTATCCTTCATGAATTCGATCCGCGAGTGCGACAAACACAAAGACAATACACGCACGTAACAGACAGACAAAAGTACGCGCGTAAAGAAGCGAGAGAGAGAGAGAGAGAGAGAGAGACGCAATTTTGTGATTTTAATTTCTTCAAGAGGGATTAATCGCCGACTACTGAGAGAGTCGAGACACCGCGCCGTACATTCGAGCGCCGTTTAAGCGGTCAGACGTTAATCACGCCGGTAACCGGCGCGATATCGTTGTAAAGCGGACCAATCGACAGTAAATTACCGGGCCCGTGCGGTCGGGCCGCGAACGGTAAAACGCCCGCGATTTCCTTCGCGAAGGTGGCAATTAAGCGCGGAAGTCTCAACACCGAAAACACCTGGGAAACCCGATATCCGCGGGGCTCATTACGTTCGCGCGTACCACGCTCGATTGCGATGACCGACTCGCAGTCGACGCGCGCATTACGGTTTCGCCACGCCTTCCGACAAAATGTAATCCGAGACTCCCTCTGTCTCCCCGAGAAACTTATAACTTCCCTCGAGAGAGAATTGAGAAGAATTCTCAAAGTAAAGGCCGCAGCACAACGGACTTTCGCATAACACCGCGTAAAGCGTAAGACGTAAGAGAATCTCGACCAATCGGAGCCCTCCATTTTATCCTCCGATTGATTCACGATTCTCTTACGCCTTACGCGTTACACGGCAGTTGTGCCAAAAGTTTGTGTACACGCGATAAGCGTAACTTACGAGCGCGCGTTAACGTAACGACTGTAACTTCGCGCGCGCAACAGTGAAATGAGAAAGAGCGCGATAACAATAACAAAAGTAATCTCTCCGTTCGCTCGAATACACTCGTCGCGGCGCGGCGCGAGGTCGCGATAACGACGGAGCGAGTTGAACGGCACAATGCCGCTCGCGACGCGCTCGCCGCCGACAGGGATCTGGACGCGTATATGTATATTGTATACCTGTATACGCGACGAAATCGTAAAGTCGTAAAGTCGCACGATGATTGCGTATGTACGTATACACCGTACGTGCCACTGACGGAGGTCTCAATCCGCGATACTCACTTACACTTACACCCATATACACTGAGAGACAAAGGCGAGACGCGTAACGCAATAATAATCATAATGCCAGATCGATACAACACGCGACGTTCGCTCGTCGCATCGGCCAGCGGGGATGCCGATGACATGAAAGCGAGGAGGAATGCGCGCGTAACGACGGCGACACTTAGAAGTCGGAGAATCGAGAAGTCACTAAATTATTAGTTTCCACTAGTAGTTGCTTGTTTCATCCCTCATCCCACCTTCCCGCGATACTCCCTCCACTCGTCGCTAAATTGCGTAGACTTGTACACGTAGAGACAGCCGTATGACGTGCGTAACCGCGACGGACGCGCGCCCGGTACGTATAATAATACGTATAACGTAATAAGCGATTATCGCGCGTGGAGAGGCGCACGGATATCTCTCGATAAATCAACGAGAGTATAAATCAATATTACGGTATGTGCTTTCTAAGTTGCAGTGTTTCGCGTGCTGTGGAAGGCAGTTCAGATTGTAGAGACTCAGCATTATCAGAGTCCAGCCGCGAGAGGATTTTGTCTAAATCCTGAAAAAGAGAGAGAAAAATGTACAGGGTGTCCCATTACTACCGAATATTCTCTTAAGGACATATTCTTGAGGTAATTTTGAGACGAAAATTCTAATACGAAAATGTCGAGGCTGCAATAGTTTTTGAATTATAATTGGTTAAAGATAGTGTAATTCGAAAACAATTACAGCCTCGATATTTTCGTATTAGGATCTTCGTCTTAGAACGTTGAAAACAATCCAGGAATAATAATAGATTCTATTTTGTTTATATGTGTACAGATTTTTATTTCTCCACTTAATTTAATTATATTTTTTTTTGTAATTTTTCTCAACATTTGTGATACTTTTTTCACGCTGCAGATCCACTCTATAAGTTTGTATTAATGTTAATTTTTTCAGTGCTTGAGAGAACTCTCTCATTCTAGAACGCTTAATAAATAAAGCTATCTATAATCTATTTATTTATATCTTTCTCTCTTTCTATATTATATACATACATACATATATATATATATATATATATATATATGTTATCTTCTATCTGTATGTATATTATCTCACTTTAACTTTATACTCTCTTCTCTCCTCCTCTATCTCACTTATAATCTTAATTAAAGTTATAAAGTGAGATAATATAAGCTAAAGTGAATAATGTATACTCGTATATACAGGGAAATACACATATTTTTCCCTCTTATAGGATTTTGAAATCGCTCATGCAGACGTTTGACGCTTTCCATTTCTAGACCTAATATTTTCCATTTATTATAATTATAATTTGTAGTTAATATAAAAATTGTATTTTTCGATCTATGGTTTAATCACTAGACTGATAGTTCTATAGTGAATAACTTTTACAGTTATCGCATTCGAAGAAAAATTACGTTCAAATTGAAGAAATCGGTTCTTTCGTTGATTTTTTGAAGTTGAGGTGAAAATTACCTTTAAGAAAAATAAAAATGTACTTGATTTCAAGAAATTTTTTTTTTTACATCATTCAAATCAATGAAAAATTTATTTGATTTCCAAAAATGGCGTTCAAATCAAAGAATGCACTAAAAAAATCATCCCATTAGTTTGTTAATTAATCATAGCTAGAAAACAATTTTTATATTAATTATGAAATTAAGATGCACGAATTAAGGAAAGTTTAGAAATTCGGGGTATATTGCATTTTATCCTTGTTGCTTACGCCAATGTTAAACATGAATAGAATGATATTTCGAGATGCATATGGTGACCATATATCCTTTATTGTAAAGGACAATCTCGGGACAATCCTTTATTTTAGGTAGCTGTCCTTTAAATTTAATTGTTTCTTCGAAACTCAATTTTGTCCTTTACTTTCCAATATTGTCCTTTACTGTCATTTATTTGACATTACGGGAAATTCTTTTCCGAGTACTTGTCTGATATAATATTTAATATTATATCAATGAGCAAATTTTTACGGAAACTATTTTACAGTTTCATGCATATAAATACAATTTGTTTTTGTATTTTATATTTCTTAATTTTTAAAATTAAATCTATTCAAACTACAGTTATTTTCACTTTTTATTATTTCAGATCGAAGGTTTGTTCCAATACAGTCGAATCAGTTTCGAACTATTAGAAACCTGCGCATTATTTCATTATACTGTTGTAATTTGATTATACTGTTCAATAAAATTTTTTAATGCACAGATCTTGAGAATCACAAACTGGTTCGAAAATATAGGAACAAGGGTACGGAACAAGGAACATAAGGGTACGAATACAAAGGAAGCAAATTTTCTGCTTTCCGGCCAGCGTGAAGTTTCCTTTACACGTGTCTACCGTATCCTCGTCTGTGCCGGTTGGCACATCGGTGCTGGTTGGAAAGCAGAAAATCTGCTTCCTTTCTGCCCGTACCCTAAAACATTGTCGTAGTTTGTTGAACGCTTGTTGAACATATCGTATTTTGCTGAGAGAAGAAAACCTGCTCAGGCGTATCAGAAACCTGGCGCTTCATCAAAAGAATAAGTAACACGTCAATTATCTCACTACTGCGAAATTACCACCGAAGTTTCCTTCTGCTATTTATTCTTTTTTCTCTACTACATCTATTATATATACTACGTTATTTTAATATTATTATATCATCTAGGAGTGATTCGTCAGATTAACAGATTGCGCTCTTCGAACGCGGATTTAATGACGATAGTCGAATTCCTGCGTGCGTTCGAGTAGAGAAGCATTATTATTATATGCATAATTGCGACGCTGTCGCCGATCTCTTCGATTCGCGCCTCTCCACGACGCGGTAAAGCGAAGCCTCTCCATCGCTCGTCGATCGCGTGCGCGATTCTATCGTGGATTTTCAGGAGTCATTCGCAAGAAAGATTCTGCCTCGTCAGTGATTCGCAAGCATCGATATTCTCGCGCAGAAAAATCCGGTCACAAATCATCGGTCGCTACCCAGATAACGTATACATGTTGCATAAGATGTCTTACAATTAGAGAAAACGTTAGGCCGGAGTCGGACTATGCATTGAGATTGAAGATTAAAGATTGAAATTTCACCAGGAATTTTCATAAGGACAAAGAAATTTTGGCTCCTTTCGTTCCGATTGATCCAATCTTCAATCTTTCAATTTTCAATCTCATTCTACAATGCGTAGCATTCCGGCCTTAGAAAACTATTATAGGAGTTTACTTTTTTTAGACTTCTTTGTCTAATAGCGTTTTTTATTGGCAGAACTGGCGCGCAGTGCACATTAAAGCCACCATCGATTACGATCTAAACGTAAAAGTGAGATATTAAATATACATCTATAACATTGATTGAGATTAAAGCCGTACAACGGATTTAAAGTGCACACCGAGTGCACATTAGTTTTGCCTATGAAAAACGCTATAAAAAAATAGACGTCTAACGCTTCTATTAATGTAAATTAATTTTAATTTCGGTTTAACTTTACTCTTCACCTTTTTCCAATTTTAAAACTAGAAAAATGTAGAGAGCCGAGATTAAAATTAAATTATATCCATAAAGGTGCTGATACGGTTTTGAATTACTTATATGATATCTTAAGATTGTGCTTAAGATGATCTTAATTATAAGAATCGACTTATAATATAAGAACCGACTATGAATACGATCTAAAAGACATCTTTTAAATATCTTATGCAACATGCATATTATCTGAGTACTAATCGTCACATACAATCTAATTGTTAAATTATCGTGTCGAAAAAATGTCATTCCTTTATTTTTCCTTTTTCTCTTCGTTATTTATGAAAATTGGTCTCGCACCCGGAAATGATACAGTCAGTAAAAAGTTCTTTCTATTCAAAAGATAAATTGAATAAACGTTGTTAAATAAACATGAAACGTTGGTTAAAAATAATTATCGAAAGAGAGAAAGTTAGTTTCGTTAGAAACTTCTTCAAAAAATGTTAACCTTCGTACTAGCGACTCTCTTCTAATATGCAGCAATCTAAAGCCGTAATAAGGCACGTGGAAGAAGTGATAAGGCGCATAACAAGCAGTAAGACGTAAACAATAAGCAAATCATTTTTTTATTTCTCTAATGCTTATATTATTGCTTTACGTTATCTACTACGATCGGCGAATTCGTTTACTGCTCACGTCTTACTGCCTTGCGTTTTTCAGTATATATATCACGAGCTTAACGCTTCTTCCTCTCGACAGATGAAAGGATTAAAGTTACCAGTTGGAGAGTTTTTTCGACGATGATTTTCACGCGGCGACGTCTCTACGCCGCTTTCGCCGCGCAATGACGATTCTCAGGTTAAATCGATCCGATCGAAACGGGATTATCTTCCGCGGGCGATGGACGGCACGTGAGTACGTCGAGTCTCTAAACCGAACGTTAACGAAGGTTTCACCATCGATTTTTTTCAGAAAATCGCCTCTACACGCTGCACCACGCTTTGCCTCTCTCTCTCTCTCTCTCTCTCTCTCTCTCTCTCTCTCTCATCGCTTGCTTTCTTCCCCAACCGTTTTTCTCTCTTTCTCTCTCGTTTACGCCCACGCGCGCGCGGCCAACCACGGAACCGGCCGGCGGGTAAGAGAGAGTGTATTTCTCGCTTATTATCCTTTCCTTCGATTTTCTACCGAAGAGAAAAGAATACGCCGAAGGAAGGTGCCGTCTATGTATATTATATATTTGCGCGCGCGCGCGCGCGTGTGTGTGTGTGTGTGTGTGTCGGTGAATACCGTCGGTATCCGTGACGTGTGACTCACCCGCACACGCGGCCCGGTGTACTCGCCGGAGATTTACAGCTCATTACCGATTTCATACCCTGGCGTCACGATCGATCCGCCGAGTCGAGCCGATACGGCGCAGCGGAGTCGAGCGGAGTCGAGCGGAATCGTCGAGCAGAGCGATCGCCGTCGTATCGCGTGCCATACCGATACGTGACACCGCGCGAGCGATCGGGTTTCTGCTCGTGGAAAACGCGCGCACGGTGCGCTCGCGCCAAATGACTTTTCTCTCTCTCTCTCTCTCTCTCTCTCTTTTACCTTTGTCGCCGTTTACCTTCCTCCCACGGAGGCCGTTGGACGGCGCGTTTCCCTGGCAAAAGTGGATGCGACTGTTGAATGAAAGGATCCAAAGATCCGTTTGTTTCCTCTTTTGTTTTTTTTCCTCTCGAACCGCGACGACAGGAGGAACACCGGAAAGGCTTGAACGTGGATCGCGTTG